TTCTTCCTTTACCATCAAGAGCGAGCAGTGTCGGTAAGCGTAGGTAAAGCACCACCGTCAACTGCCGCATGGTATTACCGTCACGAGTACGTGAGCCGCCAACGGTCACTGGTAGATGGTACCGTTATCGCGAGTGCGCGAGCTCAATATCAGAAATTCTTTGTGCCGCCCTTGGGGGCAAAAAACGGTGAAAGCTAACGTACGAAACCAGAGGGCAGCACAGGATGTGATCGCACGATCCCTTCCGTGAGCAATCTCCCAACTCATCTCTGTATCAATTTCCTCTTATGCTGTTTTATGTTCAACTTCCATGAACCAGAGAGAAGATAAGAGAAGCCAGGCTCCCTATTTCATTATTATTCGACGGTGCTGCCCTCTCGGTAGCTGAGGCATCGAAAGCAGAGATCAGAGATGAGTTGGGGGATGATCGAGAATCGCTCGAAAACGTTCGTAAACTGTCGATAAACAGTCGATAACGCTCGGAAACGCTCGAAACCGCTCTCAAAATGATCGAGAATGCGTGCGTGCGTGCGTGCGTGCGTGCGTGCGTGCGTGCGTGCGTGCGTGCGTGCGTGCGTGCGTGCGTGCGTGCGTGCGGGAGCCGCCAACGGCGACTGGTAGATGGTACCGCCATCGTGAGAGCGCGAGCTAGTATCAGAAATTCGTTGCGCCGTCCTTGGGGGCAAAAAACGGTGAAAGCTAACGTACGAAACCAGAGGGCAGCACAGGATGCGATCGCACGATCCTGCCCGTAAGCAATCTTCTAACTCATCTCTGTCGAAGGGCGCGACACGTCGGTAAACGTAGAGTCTAGTCTGGTTTGGTTGAGCTAGCGTAGGACCGAGAAGCAGTTACCCACTGACATTTATCGACAGAAAGTCGTTACACACCAGTTACAATCATACTCTGAAATACCGATTGCACTGTTTTTCACCAACGATTTGACCTTTCTGATATTATGTATCGGATGACTGTTTCATCTAGCGAGTTCTTTACTTCATGCGTTGGCAACGTTGTTGTTCACTGACTTTGGTGACAATGGTAAAGGAGCGTAATCAATAAAAAATAAATCATTATTACAAAGTAAAGTGGCTTTCTGGGTACCACCTTTTCTATTTATTTATATTATAATCTTAACCTATGCTCCACATTTATGGCACATGAAACATTAATGGATTACAAAATGAATTCATAATCAGATTTTATACAATATAAACGTATGTACATAAGCAATTAAAACAACATTGATCCGCGAAATTACAATCCGTGTTCCTCAAAATCTCATTTGGGTTATAGAGTCATTCCGTCTCAGAATTCAGATAAAAAATGGATAAAATTAGAGTTGAGTAGTTCATGTTTCATTGTCTTTATAAGGAGGTTGTTGCATTGGCTGTCATCCATATTATCCAATACTCCGTATATTTATTCACGTTATATAACACGTGCCATTACGTTGTCTGCAGTTTTGTCTTCGACTGAAATGTAAGATTCGGTTGAGAACTAATTTAGATCCACGTTTTAAAAATATATCTATCGTGCTTTTAAATACGTTATATATCTAAATTTAAAGTTCTAGAAACAGAATCCTGCTGATACTTACTGCAAAAGGGATAGACTCCAGTTGTTGGAGTCGCAAAGCTTCCGCGCGCAGGGTATTTTGGCGTATTCAGGCCCATTGGGGTGCAATTGTCAGCTGAGCACTCGTCATCGAGAACAAATTTAGTATATTGCAGATGTGAATAAGATGCACTATAACGATAGCCCCACATTGTGCATGGACCTCTGATAGCAGCAGCCATGTAACGAGACGCACGCGAATGGCTACAAGTTGCCAAGTTATACATAACTGAAAATACAAATAACTTTATAACGTTGTTACAAATTCTGTATCTCAAAGGTATTTCAAAACTTGAAACCAAGCAATTCACTCTATTACGTACCATCAATTGTTAGTTTTGGAATATCGAACAATGACTTAATTACAACAGGTTCACCATCAAGTAAACAATTTGGTTGCAACAAGCCTCCATTTACGAAGAAGTCGACAGTTCCGACACTCTCCGACATGCCCAAGCCCAAAAACGGTAAGAAAGGTTTTCCATCAGTATGAACTACATCTATAAATGATGCATCGGAATCATTTATCCTTATTGACGCCGCTTTTCCTTGGAAACCTGGCTGGGCCGGATCTAAGGCTAAAAGAGAAATCAAAATCGTGAGACAACTTGTTTAGAACTGATTAATATACTACGTATAGCAATGTAATGTCACAAGGTAATACCTGTGATACGAGCAATTCCTGAAATATTTTTCCCCACGTATCCCATTATGTGTGCTCCAAGACTATGTCCTAATAGATGAAACGTACTAACATCAGCAGAATATTGTTCGACGAAATATCGGATAACTCTGAAACATATTTAAGAATTTCATGAGGAATCCATTTCATTAGGGTCAATTGAAGAATAATTACCTAGCAATTTCACTTGCAACGATTCTTGTATTTGAAGCTGCTTGCATGTAACTAGTTGAAGATCCCTTTTTCCAATCTACTCCAATTACGTTAGAATCCGTCTAGAACACGTAACGGTTGAATTCATCAGTAAAAACTATATTAAATTTTCGTTCTAGCATAGTTTTTTTTTTATATGCATACCTTGTTTAAAATAGCATACGTCAAATTCTTGAACCATTCGACATTGCTTTCACTGTAGTAACCATGTGTAATAAAGAACGTTGGCTTTTGAGAATCATAAGCTCTAATGTTTATCCTGGGCCATGTTTCAAAGTAATTTTGAGCGTTGTTTACCCTAAAAAATTCAATTCATACACTGTATACGAACTCTGAGATATGTGAGGGAATTCTGTACCGAGAGTCTAAATGTTCGTTATATTTCTTTAATCATTAATAAAAGGTAGTACTCACCGATTTGAAAATCGAAAAGTTGTATTGACATCTTTTGGGTCTTGGGGTGCAGGGAATGGTCTTAGTATCGAAGACCACGGATAATCCGTGGAAAAGCACCCAAACTTATCAAAGCATGCTTCACCTGTTGAAGATACGTAAAATAAAATTAATAGTAATTTGTATTAGTGTACAGAGATCTGAATGTAACGTGAAAAAGCATTATGATTTCACACTTTTTAATTGCTAATAACTACAAAGCTATACGCTTCTACTTACGGCTGTGAACATCCCGCACAATTAGGCACAAAAGTGTAGCTGGTAATATTAAATTCATCGTGAACTCTGAGAGACTACCTTCCGTCGAAGCCACAACCAGCATTATATAAATCGTAATACGATAAATATTGAACAAGCTGGTATAAGATCCAAGGTAATATTTATTCAAGTGCACTCATTTCTTCTTTTTGTCATTACACGTCTACCGACTAAATGCCCTGCATTGACTCAATCGATTGATGAAGCATTTATCAGTTCCACCTATGGAGAATCTATCCTTCAAAATGTTTTATCTTAGTTTTGATCCACTTCTAGCATTTGGCATTGAAAACGACAAAGTTGTTAAGTGTTATGAGAATATAATACTAGTAAGAAAAATCTTCTTACTGTTCCGTTCAATTCTATCGTTCAATACTAAATGAAGAGAGCATTTCATGTACTTGTGAAGACCATCTGTATGCTGCACTGCACAGTATTACTCGAGTTCTTTTCCGCAATGCTCCCAGGTAAAGTTCAATCAAGCTTTGACGTTCAACTACAATTAGACTCCTTCTTGTGGTAATGCATTCAGTATCATCGCGTAATCATTGCATGCAATTCACTTGTACCTAACCAGTTGCACGGAAGTTGTATTCTGTATCATACAGTCATGATGATCTAGTCATGTAATTGGTACGATTATAGTTGCAGAATTAAAGTAGAATAACGTTGACCATAAAAGAGTGGAATATATTTTATTTTCGATACGTTTAAATGAGTTGAAAATAGGTATCTTTTAATACTTACTTTAGTAATAAGTATGATTAATTTGAACAGGTGGGATGATTCACTAACGAGCAGGAATTACAAATATAATCTTTTAATGAATTTTGCACTCAGTGTATACGAGTTTCAAAGGCGCTACAATATTTCCATCGTCGATTGAAAATAGAATGTGTACCTTCTTCAAATTGCTATTCCCCCCAAAAAGACGACCAGTAGTTGTCCCTGACATTCTCTTTCTCACGAAATCCTGCTAGAGGAGTAAATAACTTTTGTTGCATAATACCCCTCTGCCTCGTCATCGGATTCATCTGCAAGAAAATACGAAATTTGAACATTAACTGATAAAGTCATGGATTCCAATTAGATCAATGTACCGTTTAATACCTATTGGAAAGACGGATGGTGGGAATATAGAATCGCGGCTGTAATAAGTGATTGTCGTCAGTTTCGACATTGAAGTTTGAGAGGAAAGAGAAAACCTCCATGACGTTGGAATTCTAAACAAAGATTACGAGAAAACTATCACCATTAAGATACATTAAACACGTGCTCAGACGAACAAATGTATAGATTAGAATTAAATTATCTTACTTTTTCACAGTTTCCTTAACGATGGGTGACGTACATGGCACATTTGACGTTAATTGGTATATGGAATTTTTCGCTAAATCAGAAAATGACTTTACAGGAGAGTTTTCCGATGTGTATAAATCAAAAGCATGATCAAAGAGAAACTGTAAATCAGTTGTTGAATATTGTTGACGATCTTGTAGTAATAGCAGGAAATCTATACAAATATGAATCCTCCCCATAGTCAACAAATCCTTCCTAGAAGAAATTAATTTTACGTTGTTAATCATGAGTCGACTTCATAATATACCGCAGAGTTAACAAACCTATAATTTTGAAGATCATATTCTCCAGATGGCTGGATGTTAAGTTTTTTCTTTACTTCGTCTATATCAATTAGAGTCATACTCAATAATAAGTAAACATAATCTCTGTTTAACTTTCTGAAACCTATGTCTATTAGTAGTTCCAAAGGTAGACTTCCTACAAGCAATGGCAGTGCTGCATTCGGCCGATACAATTCGGAAACAATTTTTGCAAACCGTGTTGCATTAGACGAATTCATCTAGAAGAAACATAAATGGTATGCAAATTCAAAACCCTGAATGTAATCCCCAAGCTTTGGAAATAAAATGGTTTGTAACATTAATATTTACTATTAGGAAAATAAAAATATTATTACCTCAGGCCTAAAATCATCGTTTAAAATTTCCTCAAACACCGCATGAAAGCAATCTGTTAATTCTATATGACTTTTACAACCTATACAATTAAAGTATTATTTATAATAAAAATCTCATATACTAAAAAATATCACTTAGTGCAAATAAATTATTCTCTTTTACTGATGATGATATTGTAATTTATTACAATCAAATATCACACATTTTCCTTACTTTCGTAAGGAATTAATGCGCATAATAAAGATAATCGTTTTCATTTGGTTGTAATAAACCATAATCTTGGTATTTGTTTAGAGAATAGTTTATTCAATATTTCTTGCTTTGTTATGTTGTTTATCATTTACCAATAAGTAACTGCCACAAGTTGTCTGTGAAATCTCTATTTTCTCTGTGGCGAACTTCATCTATATATTGTTGCAATGGGACATCAGTTTCTTGCTCTCTTTCATTACCATACATAAACCGTTTATTGTCGTAATTAAGACAGTATTTGTCATCAGTGGTACTATCTCCATGTAGCAATAAATAAAGCTGGTTTATGATATCTTTACCATCCTGTAAATCATGTAAGTATTTTTAAACGGAACAATATTCTGTTAATTGAAAAATGTGTAAAAGGAATATTTATATAAAAAATGTATTTACAGCAGCGTACGGAGTTGAAAAATGATTTGGAAATTGCAGTGGCATCACACTATATCTTTCACGTTCAGTTTTTCTTTGATATTGTTCTAACATCGTTAGAAATTCATTTAATAATAACATTTGTTGCCATAACTCGTTCAAAGCGCTGGTTAGATGTCCAGCAGCAATTTCAATCGTCTGTATCAAATCATATCAATTGAGATATAAGTAAGCAATTAGGCTATATAAACACAGAGTACATACAAGTTATTTACCATAGTACATACAGCTGCCTGTTCCAGAATATCAGACTGTAATCCACTGGAACTAATTTCAAGGTTTGCATACCCATCAAAACTATGCTTTGAAAGTTCTTTGCAATTAATAGTTTCTTGACTTGTTCCGAACAGGTCATACGTTTTCAAGGTTGACATGTTAACCTGATATAATATAAGAAATTAAGTTATCTACATAATTAATTAATTGCACAATATTTTAATATAAAAGTATTTAAACTCAGAAGTGTTGTTACAAATTAGATGTTTAATAAGAATCTTTTTTATTACATCAAATTTTGTAGTATATATCTTGTTATGCTCATTCACAAGGACAGAATAATTTGTTTCAATGTCTGATGGTTTCGTGAAACCTATACTGCCAGCATGTACGGTGCAGTGCCATCGTGGTTCCATAAGTGTACCAATAAATAATGTGTTCTCTGAATCCTTCCCGTCACAAATAGCGAATATAGGTACGGTCCAACTGTTGTCGAGTTGTTGCAGACATAAATTGATTGAAATACTGAAGTGTAGAATATAAAGATGATTTGAATTGAGATACTTTATTAATCAGATATTATCTAATTTTAGTATAATAAATCATAGGTTCAAAATATTTGGATTTAATTACCTTGCTTCCATTCTAGACAATGGGACATAGTGTTCTTCAACAGGCCGCCAGTTTCTTCTTTTAATTATCAAAGTATCTTGGAATGTATCATTCCCAAAAGAATATTCCAGCGGTGATCCAGTAATATCCAGTTCTATATCAAAAACAATAATGTCAACGTTTAAGAAATTCTGGCAATATACAAGAAGTAGTTATGCATGCTTGATTAAACATGTTACCATTTATTTGTGTTTCAATAGTTTCTATTTCTTTCTCCTTTGGCTGACCAGTTTCCGAGATCACCTGCAAAACAACGTTCCATCGAAGAATTTAACTATGCAGTAAAATTATGCTTAAATTCATAAGAAAATATATTGTATAATAAATAAACTTAAAATCTGTAATTATGTTTAAACTTACAGCTTTATAAAACACGACAACTTTTCTACTTGCTAACTCCGGAATGAGGCGATTAATGTATGATAGAGAAAGTACATCAAATCTGATAGCCTGATCTTTTAAAATAGACGATAAAGTTTGCAAGTTCTGCTTACTCATAATTGTTTATTTACTAATATATAATCAGAAAACGATGCAAAAATGCCGCATTCAAGTCACTGAAGTTTACGTTGAGTTTATAACAAAAATATTTGTCAACACAATCTAGCACCGGATTCGAGAAATAAACTTGCTTTCTCGTTAGCTCCGTGGATAACCACCATCTCATGGAAGTGTACCCGTGGTGCCCTCTTTCATTAATGAATTCAACTAATTCTTCTCTCCGAGAATTTCAATATCCCGGAGGAAAAGATCATCATAAATTCGGCTTTTTTACATTTTATTACTAGAAAACTTTATACCATTCGACTTGGTGTAAACTAAACTTTCAAGCAAAAAACGTTTTTGGGAGCACGGGTGAAAATGTTATTCAAGAAATGAATCTAATACAAATAAAAGGCTCATCTTGTACTTTGTGGCTTCTAAATTAACTGCAAAACATTCAATTTTGAAAACGAGAAAAAGTATTTCCCAACGTGACAGCGTTTACAGCATAATAACGCTCCGAAATAATATTTTCCTAATCAGATAAGAAACAAGTCGGCCCCTTTTCTCCCTGCATCATCTATATATGATAAAATTTGGAGCGGAAACGAATCTTTACTAAACCCCATCGTGGGTTTACTCACCAAGTCAGTGGCAATTCCATCACGGGACGAGAGCAGGGCGTCGACGGCCACGGGAGAAGAGCGGTGATCGGCAGTACCGGCGACACTCGGAGTATCCTGGACAATGAGCTCCGCGGCTCGCCAGGACCTCCGAATTTCGGAGATCCCTCTCCCGTCCTTCCGTCGAACGCCGTCAAGCTGCCATGCGCCGTCAATTGACAGTGCGCGCGTTAGATGTCCCGGTGGGTATCGCGGCGCGATAATTGAGATCCCGATTTTTCCTCCTCGACTCGTACCGACCGTGGTAATGACCCGCAATATCAGACCCCTTTACGATACTTACTAAATAACAAATCTTATATTAACAAATTTTTACAACACATACTTACAATTAATGATTGCCCAAGATGGCTCCGAGTGTCGCCAACCGATACTGAAATTAAATAATGTCAAAATTCGGTACTCACCGCTACCGCCGCGCCCCTAATTGTGACGGCAGAATTCTGCCACGTCACAATACATGAACTAATACAATAAGGCAACAGATACGAGAAATGAGTTCCGGGTTAACAAGTCGCTTGTAAAATTGGTAAAACGTTTATTAACTATTAAAAAACGATGAAACAAGGTGAACATGAGATTGATAATTCAATAAGTAATATTATTAAATAGACTATAGAGACGTGTAATACGTGTTTGCAATAGTTATTCTCTTTATACGTTTATTTATATCGAGACAGATATTACCCTTACTCGGTGAACGTCGGGCCTTCGTGTTTAGGTTCGGGACAACTCTGAAGTACCGTGGAGGTACTTCACTCCCGTAACCGCGTTAACATGCTCCTAGTTATGAGCCGGTAGTTGAAAAAGCCTCAATATTACAGGATCCGTTGCACGAAGTGCCTCAACATTGACTACACCTAACATTCCATTCAGTTCCGAGCGATACCTGTGCGCACACGTACGTACAAAACGAAATCAACGTTTGTCATCATCTCGCATAGCAAAGGCAACTGTGTATACCGACAAGTGACAAATGGTAATTATTTTTGCTTCCTCGGCTTGTAGCTCCTTCTCGCCGGAGATGTGATGGAGACACGTTTGCAAATCGGCGAACTCTACTGCGCCGATCCTCGGTACAAATTATAATATTCTATATCCGTTACCATTAAGTAGTTTATATTACAATTAAATTGACAAACAATCGTTATAATAATAATTCTCTATTAGCTCTCTCTCTCGTTCTCGTTTTCTCGCGTTCGCTGACACACGCACACACACATACTCTCTCTCTAGGAATATATTATATCTTTAGCTTTAATTATCGACACCTCCGTGCAATGTAATAAGTATAAGTTCATCCGAAAAGAACGCAAACTCGCCCGATTTCAGCGTTTCTGAATTTCCCGTGAGAAAGCCTTTAGAACGAACTGTGATATTTTGCAATGTTATCGTGGCAATAAGACGTAAGGGCCAAATATGATTTACGTGTGTTTGAATCGGATCGTTTAAATCGGCTATAATGTAATTATTCCAGATTATATGTACAGTAAATTAGTTTAACCAGAATTATGAAAAATTGAAATGGGGTAGAATACCGCTTCGTGCGGGTTCTCTTCCGATTCAGACTCCGTTAGGGGGTTTAATCAGCAATTATTCTAAACTTCTGCTTTCACGAATGGCAAAGTCGGCGATTTATCCTTGAAAGGGATCATCGATATATGCATGTATAAATAATTGGAATAGGCGAGTCACGTTAGTCGCGAATGGACTTGTAGTTATATGTATCCGAGGCCTACGTATGAACTCTCACGGTAATCTCCGTCAGCTTTCTGCCCTATCCGACTTGATCTCGATATAATCATAAGTATAGGTATTTACAGTAGTATACCTACTATTACAATAATTTAGTAGTGGTATTTAAATTACAATAGTGTCTCTATATAATGTTGCACATAACCCATTACTGGCTTAGTCATCTAGCTGTACAAAACATTATATATCGCTATACTACCTCTAGAGATTTGTCCTGTGAGGCTTGATAGATCGTGAGGTCGCGCCATCGACTAACAATATATTATATCACGACGTCCTCACGTCGTACCTTCGTGCGGCGATGCAGTGTCATTTGTCATCAATATTCCCAATACGATCCTTCAGCTCGACACGAGGTGACGGCACGTCCATTCGGCGCGTCCCTGTCTTACATACATAGCTACTCTTCATTATAAGTATACATACATTATGTCCGCGACTTGAACCGATCGTTGATCCTTTCATCACCGTAAACTTCGTCCTACGCGAATTAAGTACATTAAAAAATACCGCGCTACTTCACTCAAGTATAACCGACAAGCTACTTGGACATCGGTGAAGCCAGAGCCAGTCGTTCTGCACCTCAGCGAAACCTCGTACACTGGAACTTCATAACTTCGGCCGAAATCCGCGCGTATTCGCTTCGTCAATCTCCGTATACCGAGACTGGCTTCATCCATGTACATACATATTTGATTCGGAACATTAATCTGTTCGTAATGGTCAGTCGACTCCGTTAAGGTATCGCACGAAGTCCAATAGATAACTCGAAATTCTCTCAATTTTCTAACGCTTTACGGTCGGACGAACGAAATTAGTTATAAGCGTCCGATAATCAAGTCCTCTGTTCTTTGCTGGAACGTGGAGTCGCCCGCCAACGAATCGAGGGTTTTACATTTAGTCATTTACAGAGTATGGCTGTGGGTAGGATTCCCCTCGTTCGAACTTTGCCTTTCGTCGCAAGCTCGAGCGTATTTCGCATGCACATCGTACTTGACCGATTACTCCGTTTCTTTTTTTTATTTTTGTCGCAACGAAGTCCCTGGAGCATTTTCGCTCACGCCTTGACTCCGTTCATGAATTCTCGATTTAACGACGTACCGACCGAATAGGCCGCGATTCGGGAGTAGAAGACGAATCGCGGAAGGTAATTCGCGCAACTTTATAACCATTAACAACTGTGAGAAGGGGACTGGGCAATGTTTTTTTGTCGTTTTAAATTCCTTGCGGCAATTCGAGACTATACTTGGAAGCGATCAGCTTCGCGCGCGTGCCTTAACTAGTTTATTGTGCTACTTAGGTGGGGAAAAGGCGTTAGAGTGTTACTTAATTGTTTAATTAACAGTAATTAATCTTTACGCCTTGGAGGTAGGGTCCAAGCGTTAGGGCTGGGAGGCGCCTGGGGGGCAGGACGTCACAGTTGCTGGTCCCGACATGGTACCCAAATGTTCGGTCCCGATTGTTCGGTGATTACCTCTTTCACCTTAACGTAGATATCTTCGGGGGTGTCGCCTTGTACCACGGCTAAAACAAGATACTTCAATGACATACCGCTCCTTGGTACCTCTGGATGTAAAACTAATCGCAAGTAGATTATTCTTCCAGGCAAGGTGTTTCAGACCGTGAAAGAACGAGCGATCAAACTTCAAATGAAACTTCTTTCTCACCGGTGAAATACTCTCCGAACTCCTGCTCCATTTTAAGCGCACGCTCGTAGGTCTTCTTCGCTTGTTCTTCGGTCATCCTTTTGTTCATCTCCCTGTGGAGCAGAAAATATAAAATACTAAAACTTATGTTACTCTTTCGTCAGGGGTTATTTTTAATATTAAACGGGAATGTGTCTTCGAACTTGAAAAACTTACATGACCGACTCGACTGATTTTGGTTTGATGAAGATAGCGATGGGGTAGAGCTGAGCAACTTGTAACCTCTTGATGGCGTTCCCGCTTACGTCAAGAATACAGTGCTTTCCCTGCGGGGCATAGAATCAATCATGTAACAATGAAATGACATTTGTTGTTTACTCTCCATTTCCGTACTAAAGCGAGGAAAAATTACCTTTTCGGCAACTTCTCGAACCGATGCCACCGACGTACCGTACAGATTGTCATTGTACTGTCCAGCTTCGATGAACAGGTGATTTTGGATGTCCCTCTCCATTTGTTCCCTCGATGCTACGAAATGGTAATCGCGTCCGTCTACCTCGTACTCTCTTTTACTCCTCGTCGTGTCTGTCAGAAGTTAAGCATTGTATTAGAAAATTATGAAAGACTTTTAAACATTAATATTTATTAATGGACACTTACGTGGTACACAGCTGCCGAACTTGTCGGGAAATTCAGAAATGAGGTCGTCATTGATGCGATCCTTGAGAGGGCCCAAAATGATAACTGGTCGAGTATATTGAATGGTAAGTTGCTGAACAGCTTCATAGGATAACACGTTTTCTTCGCTGCCTGTAACGACGAATACGTGGTTATATAATACATTTTCAATGTTTGAGAAAGCACGAACTCAATTCTGGGAATGTTAGATACGCCACGCTTGTTTAAAACTGTTAGAGAAAGGGAACTTCCTCAAAATACGTTAGCACTAGCAATCTTCAAACAAAATTATTATCAAGCTATACATTGATCGGTATATTTCGCACTTTCATATGCTTTCAAATAAATTGCTATTACGTTAGGGAACGTAGATTCTCTTCAGTTAACACTAATCGTCACTTGTACGGCTATTTTCAGCTTTCAATTCAGAAGTAAACCACATTTAAGGGCGCTCACCACTCCTGCGATTTTGCAGGATCTCACGGGGACAACAATTTCGATCGTATTTCTCAACCGATCGAGCCCAACGAATGCTCACATTAAATATAAAGTGTTGACCTGTGTTCACATGGGAGCGATTTTCGACAAGTGGTCATTTTCATATAAAAAAAGTGTAAAGATATCATTTTTATACTCTTTTAACTATATACGTCAAATACCGCCCATTACGCGTCGAGTCTCCCTCATCCGAGCCAGAAAGTACGTTTTGGTTATCTCCCACCGAATTCAATGTTAATGTCATCTAGTGGTGGAAATCATCGTCCCCACTTTGGCGGTGAACGCCGTTAAGAGCAGGTATACTTTTAACAATTTCCTTCGAATTCCGGTAATTTAGAATAATTAGTAAGTTTTATTAACGTTGGAAACACACGTCCATTTATTTTCGGTTAGAACAAATGTTATTTCAGTTTTCCTATTCAACAACCTGCCCACCTCGGGTCCAACTCTTGCAATCTGTGTTGATATAAAAGAAATGTATGTTTAATGCCAATACAAAAGAGAATTCAGAAGTAAAAATAACGTGTATATATATACAATAGACAACACATTCCACCGAGTGATATAATATTTGTTCCACAAGTGGTCCTCGGAAAAGAACCATATAAATGTAATTACTGGCCTCCATTTTTATGTATTTATCCGTAAATTCTGACTTTTAAACTAATTTTATAGATGCTAGTTTGAGGTATAGTATCCCTTTTTGGACACACCCTGCCGGATGATAAATGTTCTTAAATACGCATAACACGTGTTTGGCTTTATCGTGGAATATCTACAGAAACGTATGTGAATTTTTAAAATTTTCCGAAAAGAGTTACGGATACGACCTTTTAGTATATGGAAGTTGACTGCCCTGTACAGGAAATCCTACTTACACGCATAAGATCTATAAAATAGCCGCGGGAATTATTAGCGTCACTACAGAAAAGCAAGCATGTCGCGACTGTTCCAACTGCGCAAAGTATCTTCTAGATTTAGCTGCACAAAACTCAACCAGGGGTCGAAAAGTTGAGGAGAGACCGAGAAGCGAAAGATAGGGAGGGGAAAAGAAGCACCAGAAGCGGTACAGGAACGGGCAAGAAAATGGTAAGAAAATGTGAAGAAATTAGTCGATGGACGTTTCACTCTTTTTACACGCTGACTTACAAAGTTCATCATTATTCTCATCATCCTCCTTTTCCAGATAAACTAAAGTCAGTTCCTCCATATAGGGCAGTTCAACGCGATACAAAATTTCCCTACTTCCTGTGGCGGAAGACAAATCTTGAATAAATAAAGGAGATCCAACTTTAGACATTCGAAATGATGAGCGATGGCGTGGAGTATTTCAAGTGCTTAAGGATTTAATATGAGCAATGATTCTGACAGACTGAAAATTCCGCAGTCGAATTCGTTGATCGACATGGCTTCGCAAGGGTGAACCTTGCGATGCGGATGTACGGCCTTAACGGTAATAAGCAAAGCTTTTCCAGTGGACATCATCTCTATGACATGATATTCCGCTCGAATAATAACCACTGCTTTATGACTCGTTACCGTACTAATGAATATATGCTCGTTAATTCGTGCGAGAGATGGGAGACATGATTACCTTCCGTGTTAGTGTCGTCCTGGGTGTAGCACAGCATGAATGCTAGAACATAACAAGTTCACAGTTCAATATCGTGTAGCAAGAAAGCACGGGGTTTATTGCTAATTTCGCTTGAAGCGCTAACTCGAAGCAGGATGTCTTCCTCTAGTGATAACTAATCGTGTATGCGATGATCATCAAAACATCCACGTGTCACACGTAGCTTCGAAGGGTCCAAATTAACATCCCATACGCTTCCCAGTAATATACATTTCGACATTCATACGTTTCACTAAACGCCATACCGAAAATCCTCATTTTCTCAGGGACAGTACGGTTTAGCCCACGGAGCAGAGAAAGGATCCTAAAGGAAACAACGTTTCTTAACATTGCGGTTAGAAAAGTCTGCCATTCCACTTAAACTCCATTCTCCCATTCTTAATAACAGAAATAGAGATTACTTCCAACTGGTCAGGTAGGATGAGATATCGAAACATGGTATTAATAGTACCCTTCGTCCTCAATTTCGTGAACTCGTTTTCCAGCTCGCTGGATGCGTTTAACGTTCAAAGGTAATTTTCATCGATGGTAACGTACTCGATGGTCAAACCTAATTTTCTAAATTTATAATCCTCGGTAGCGATAACGCGTCTCGGTTGTACTTTGCCAGGTAACGAATCGAGATGCGTCCCAGAAAGTCGGAGCGTTATTTCTTTGGTGGTGCTTAATGAACTAAAGACTGTGGTGAAAAGCTGTTGGAAAGAGACTCAGCTCCGTTAAACTACGCAGATCGGACTAGCTTATCCAGGAAGCCAAGTTTACGGTCCAGGAATATAAAGTGGTGCAATGCGGTATGAAGCGGTGGGCAAGCTGTCGACAACTAGCGGGCAATGCGACTTGGTTTGTCATAGAATACTTACGCGTATGATCGTTTTCATTCTCGGGTGTTGTGGGCGACCCTACGCAAGCAGGCAAAACAAAACACATGTCACGTTTCACATAGTAAACACAAAAGCTCATTCAGGAATCGAAGAAGTAACGTCGGAGATGTCGCCTGCTACGACGGCCAAGGGCACTGTACAATTTACTTATCGAATATAGAACCTGAAAGGGATTAATCATAGGGGGCCGGTCCTTCGTCGAGGCGAATTAAAGGACACCCTTTCCTGATATTCCGTGGCCTCGTAAACGCTCATGGGTACATCGAGAGATGCCAACAAAGGAAATGTATAACAGAGAGTCGAGAGTACACAAATTATTTGGTTATAGACGGGCGATCCAAAGGAGGGGCAACTCTTGCTGTTAGTACTCAATCAAACGACCTAATGGCAAGACAAACTCAATGGTTAATTGAAATTTCTCATCGCTCCACGGTCCGTGGTCATCGAATGGATCTGGTACACGAATCGCAGATTTTTGAGTCCAAACATGCTCCGAACGTGCAGAAGTAATCGTATCGACGCCAGGGTCTCTCGAGGTACTTACGTTCCTGATCCGAACCATCCTCGGACTTATCATCCTTGCTTTTCATGAAGGGGAACTTCCTGCTGAACGAAAAATTCTTCTTCTTCCTATCCAAGGTCGATTGCTAAAAATGTTAAGAGGTGTTAGCTGATTTTCTATATTGATAGTGGTTTTCAGACTACTACGGGTATTGAGAAGTTTGTACTTAATATGAGATTGCATTGAGCGAAAAAATTGCTTTCGAGAAGAAAAGCCATCCTTGGGTAGAATAAATTTCTACTGTTTAACGAACGACGTATAAAAACATGTGGCTACCTTGTCGAGTATCACGGGCATGTGGCCCTGGAACTTGACGGAACGATCTCGGGCGCGTTGCTTGCGTTCCCATCGTCTACGAGACGGGATTATCCCTAGACCTTCCTCCTCGCCCTGAGGAGTGACTCTTCTAGCTTGCCACCATTCGTCGTCGCTAGCGTTTGTTACGTGAAGGATCTCTCCGTAACGAAAGGCCAGTCCGCGACTTGGCAAGCCATCGTCCTTGTTAGGGTCGTAGTCGAAAAGGGCTCTAGAAGTTAAAAAAAAAAAATACCCCATTAGTTAAAAAGAATTTTCTTGAACCCTTATCTGACTAAGGGGATTGGTAGGTTGTGAAATGCGTTTAATAATCAACGTGAGTTTACAATAGAACTGAAGGGTACAGAGATAACGAGGAGGTAAGAAAAAAGCAAAAGAAAATTTGCCTTTTTCTTTTCACGGGTTGTATGATTCCAGGTAAACGGTGAGTTTGAAACAAAAAGATAAGGTCGTTTAAAATCTAGAAATGGTTATCTAAGAACCGGGGACACAGGCTTTTCACGAGAATTTCTGTTCCAAAGAAATCAACAATTAGAGTTCAAACATTAATGAAAAAGTGATTTCTATTGCCTTTATTCACTAGGATCTGAATGATCTCACCGAACGTAGAGAGACTTCTTTTGCGAGGTCCTCATGAGGGTGCCTGTCATCATATTCTGCTGGGAGATCTGTTGCTTGAGGTCGTGGATCTTGGCCTCGAACCTGTTGTAATCCTCGGGCTTGTACTGGACCACAATGGTCACTGTCTGACCGGTGCCCTGGTCAACGGAATAATAGGCGAGGTTTAATTGCAGATCGCTCAAAGCCTCGCAAGTCCGATTAAGCTCCACTATTAGCAAGGGCCGATTTCGTAGTCAATTTTCCGTAATTTACCTTGAGGGCGGCCGCGGCCTCCTCGTGGGTGGCGGTCCGCAAGTTGACTCCATTCACGCTGAGGATCTGATCCCCTCGGCGAAGTTCACCGCTAAGGTCGGCTGGTCCTCCGGCCAGGATGAAGGAGATGAAGATTCCCTCGCCGTCCTCCCCTCCGACGATGTTAAAGCCCAGCCCTGACGAGCCTTTGTTGAGGATGACCGTACGTACCTCTCTGCAAACAACGTAAATGACCTTGTCAAAGACCAAATTTACATTTTCTATTACCATTTCCATATTGATAAGTTCTTAACACTAATTAATGAGCTTTAATATAACATAAAATATCGAGGTAACTGGTTGCTAAGAAATTGTAGATGAATGGCTTACAATTGCTCTATTGCTTTTTTGCGTGAAAATTCGTACGGCAGAGTAGTACATGTAAGTTCGCGTGTTACGAATGGGGTTCGTTTCGGAAAGTGAAACGCTATTCTTTACAATTAGTTACTGTTTACATATCTTCCGCGTGTTCTTCTTCAATTTGTTGTCTAAGAAGTCAATCAGTGGCCGTGCTTCTGTATTGGCGAAGATGATATTAAAATCGTCGCATATTATTATTGGTTTTGTATCTTTGAAATTTCGTTTCCAATCCGCGTGGCGGTTACGCATCGAATTTTTATGTATATTTTTTGTTTCGGTTGCAATTCGAGAAAGACTTCGGGTTATTGTGGCCTTGTTGGAGGTTCGTTAAAATGGCATTTTCTCCTATCGAGCAGGAGAGCTTCCATTTAGCGATTTCCACTTTCAGTTAATCAGCCTCCTGGGTGGGCGTAAATGAAACGTTTTTGCTCGTACGGTGTAATTGCGATTAGAGCAACGCGTTGTTACGAGAGACAATGTCATTTGCACATGAGTGGGCGCCGCTTCGAAAGTTAGGTCTATTGACATTTCAGCAATTGACAGCGCGCCCACGTGCATGCAATCGGCCGAGAACCGTCGTCTGCAATCTAGGGTTTATTTTTAGTATATATGATATTTAATAAAAGGTCGCCCCTGCTTGGAGGTAGATACTCTTTAAAGCAGAATTTGAATAAATTGTCCTATACATCTCTCTCATGAATTTCAAGCCTTGGGCGACATTACAATCTTTTCCTAAATTTGGATTTATTAGGCGGCAGTTACTCCTTGGGAAGTAAAAATTCTTCTGCCCTCCATTTTTATTCATGTTTAATTACAGTTTATTGAGATTTATTTACAATTACTGCTGCAATTTCGGATAGACAAAAACCACAATTGCACACCAGACTCAAATTCACGTAAAACGCTTCAGTGCACACATTTATTTAGGACTTGAAAAGTTCCAACAGATGATTTTCGATATCAAGTTATTCGAGCTGAATGCAATATCCAAAAAATGATTCAACTTCTATTGTATTAATATTTTCAACACCTGGGGCCTTCTTTGTTTCTGTCATTTCTTCGACGTGTTTCATTTCACCTTAACTGGAGGAACAGTCAGCAGCATGGTGCCATAAACGAGCATGCTTCGGCCGGATGTCCTGCGGAGGTCCTTGCGCCGGCGTCGCAGAACGGTTCAATTAGCATGCTAATTAAGGTGTTCATTGAAGTTCGAACGGTTCGCCGGGTCTCCCCCGGGCAAGGGCCCTTGGCTCGGTTCCGTATAATATGAGGATTCGTGCGAGTGACGTCGCGGCGTCAAGCGTCTCCTGGGTCTCATCCTATTTTCGGCCACTCGACGCCACACCGTGGCCTCTCCCTCTTCCATTAACAAAGACCTCAAATTAGTCGTTGGCTCGGCCGAGGGACACGTACGTTTCGAGTAAGCACCCTACCCAGGGCTGGCGCTAGGGACACGTACCGAGAAATATGGAGGCCGATCCTGTGTACGGTTCGCCAATTTATACTTAACGAGTGCCTTAAAGGAATATGTTAAATTCAGTTTAAAGATGTATTTGGTCGAAGCTCTGCCGAGTTTCATGGTTTATGCTTTGTCCTCCTTCCTTTGCGGAATACGCGAAATCGATATGGTGCTTATAAAACGACCAACTACGACGGCGTTCAATTACATTTTCTGGGTATTTTATTCAAGACGGAATGTCAAGGGAAACCGAATGGTAATGATTACAAAATTTGTGGATACACGCAGAAAAAAAAAAGTGGCGTATGGAACGGAATCGTTCCATACGCCGTATTTGGTTAAGTTCGGAAAGCATGTTGGTAGGATTAATCGAATGTTTGGTTCAGTAAACCACATTCGTTTTTTTTAATCGGCTAAAGTGTTTTGGTTAAATCATTTTGTCAATTTTCGACACTAAATAATATATGGCGTGATCCATGAGAAGATTTGATGTAATCAGCGAAAAGTTAATAACCAGAGAATTTGGTCGTGTCAATAAAATATTTGGTTATCCGTATACCCATATTCTATAGCTGAACCAACAAATATTGTACTGATTGAACCAAAGATTTATCTACGTGTATAAGGGGTTTCCCTTATATCCAAATTCATTTCGATCAAATTAGTCATCTTACGATCTACGTGTCAGTGCCTTGTTAAAGAGTTTTACAATTATAAGGAGGATTAAATATTTATATATCCAGAGAAACGTTCTTTAAAAGAATTTTAGTCATCGCGATATCGAACCCAGGTGCTGGATACACGAAACGTTACTACGCAGGAACATTAACCCTTTGCACCCGGGTGTCCTACTAAAATTGAGGCAAGGCCACCGTTGACGTCCACGGCCCTGATCCGAGAGTATACGGGTTTATCTTATCCTTCGAATAACCCGACCATCCTCACGAAACAGGTGTTGGAGGCGAAGGGTTAATAAGCACCCACGTAAAGTGCCAAATTCTTCGAATACGTTAAGGTGAAATGATGTATTCGAATCGACTGATTTGAGGGGGGGTTTCACTTCACCTTAACATCTACGACACACCCAGACTTACAAAATTTAAGCCCATTTACAAAGTCCGTCCTACATCCCCGCCATGGTCGAAAGTAACGTCTGGAATCCGCAGTCCGAAGTCCTAAGTGAAATATGTCCGAACGGGGGAACCGAACATATGGACATCCATGTTTATAGGGAAAAGCAGCACTGCACAACGTGAGAGGGCGAGGATACAGGGGGCGGAACACCGCGAGGGAGGCGCGCACGGTCACCGCGGAAAGGCAGCCGACAGCTGACTCCCCGGCGAGGCTCTGGAGAAAATCGAATCAGCTGACCGCAGTTACCGGGTCTCGCGGTAAGCGGCGCAACCCACCGGATGAGTCGAGTCCTCGCGCGGGTCTCTCGACTGTCGTCCTTTGACGGCTTGTTGGGACGAACTTTTTTCCGAAGTGTCTCCGTCGCCCTCCCACGCGCATCGGTGGCGCGCATACGTAGCTGCGCGCGATGGATGCGCACTCGTTACACCCACCCGACGCGTCCGCCGCGCACCCTCGCAGCACCGTTCGGCGTCATCTGGCCAGGTAGTTTCTATCGAGAGGGGATTCTCGTGTAAAAGGCTAAAAAACCAGCAATTTTCACGAATTTTTTTATAATTAACCTATTGACGATATTTGAATCGGTTTTTTTCTCTCTAATATGAAAATGCATCTTTGAAGTTTAAAGAGAGATGTATTTCTTTTTATTTTCTTCATGTATCTTCAAACGGGATATAATTATTTTAGCCACTTCCGGAAGTACAGAAAGTGGCTAATTGCGGGAAGCCCTTCTTTTCTGAAAAATTACTGTAAGACGAGATATATCAAGAGAGATATTAAACTAGAAAAGAATCTTCGTGATTTCGAGCACTCTTCATGAGTAAAAATTTCCACCTTCTGGTTCATATCCGGTACTCGTCGTTTGCCTTGCCAATGAAATGCCTCATCTTTCATACCACTTGTAATTGGAACAAAGAGACATGTACCATAAGAAGATATTTCTTAACTGTCCGCTGCATAACTCCTGCAGGAAACATCTTCCGAGCCCTGCAGCTCCGGGTTCCTGATAGTAGTTCTTGTACATACAGTTTCTTTTTCTTGAAATTACTAGGTGGAGCTAGGAAACGATCAGCTTTTTATTTCTTGGAACCTTTCATTTGGTATTTCATCCACCAGCCGTGGTTTACATTTTTTTTTGGCACTAATTGTTACCTACGGCCAGGGTCGTTGCAACAAATAGCAATTTCGAAGGAACCGTCTATCCTAGCAATGTACAGCGCGGGTGAACATTGTATCGTGTGGTTAACTTTTGACCCCTTCCTCAACCATTTTGCTGGCTACGAAAGCATTTTCTCGTTAAGTTAACGTGAGATGTTTCTCCCATGTAGCAAATGGGTTTAAATCGCAAGATGGAAGCCATTAGGGTTGAAAATAGAAAACTATTGTGGCGGCTTTCCAGCTCTGCTAACAGCCGATCCATTACAAGTATCCTTGCTGTACACTCCAGCTGATTTACACTAGCTCCCCGAAGCTCCGCCGAGAGTACTTGATCAAATTTCAAGACTTCTCGTGCAGAAAATTCCGGACATGTGGTTTACGAAGATACATCGAGTAAAATCGTGCTTTTCACATCGAAATATGTTATACGTGTTTTTTTTATTATCAATCGAAGTCATACCGGTAGCCTTTTGAAAAGTTCCTCAATGAGCATCGAAAACATGATCCAAAGGCTCGAATATTCTATTTGTAACATCAAATTTTAATGAAGTATTTTTTAAGTGAAACTTCATATGGCACGGTAGTCTGTGTAAAGTTCGTATGTTAAACACAGAAAAAAAATGTTGTTCAATGAATAGAACTTTTTTATCTAATAGAATCATTTAATCGGCTGTTTAATTAGGACGTTATCTTTTTCCTTACAATTTAAACCTCGGGCTTCCGGTAGGGCAACTGACATGTGAACTCGAGATCTATCTTGACTCCTTCGACATGACGGTATAGGTCGAGTACATGCTTGGTACAGATCGAGATATCAGTAAGAGGGTTCCTTGAAGAAGACATCCCCGTAGTAGGGTAGCACTTGGCACTCATGTAAGCTGAGCATAGACCCTCGGTAAGAATGCTGTCGAAATGCCGTTTTCTCCTGCATTGACGATTTCTATGCTGATCGCCGGATTTGCAATGTAGGAAGTGGTTAGCTTAACAAAAAACCTGCCAATATCTAGAAGAAAAAGTAGATCTATCCACTTCGGTTAAATTGAACATCCAGATGCCCTACTTGACGT